AACAAAAAGTCATTAGAGACTATTATGAAGACCTACAACCCAACAAATTGTAAAATCTAGAAGAAATAAACAAATTCCTAGACACATACAACTTGCCAAAATTGAATCATGAAGAAGTGGAAAATTTGAACAGACTAATTAATAATAAGTAACAGAATCAAATTAGTAATTAAAAATCTCCCATCAGGCCTGGCGCAGCGGCTCACGCCTGTAATCCTAGCACTCTAGGAGGCCCAGGCGGGAGGATCGCTAGAGGTCAGGAGTTCAAAACCAGCCTGAGCGAGAGCGAGACCTCGTCTCTACTATAAATAGAAAGAAATTAATTGGCCAACTAATATATATAGAAAAAATTAGCCGGGCATGGTGGTGCATGCCTGTAGTCCCAGCTACTCGGGAGGCTGATGCAGCAGGATTACTTGAGCCCAGGAGTTTGAGGTTGCTGTGAGCTAGGCTGACACCAAGGCACTTACTCTAGCCTGGGCAACAAAGTGAGACTCTGTCTCTAAATAAATAAAAATCTCCCATCAAAGAAAAGCCAAGACCCAAGAGCTTCATTGCTGAATTCTTCCAAATGTTTCAAAAAGCAATAAATACTAACCCTTCTAAAATTATTCCAAAAAATTGAAAGGGAAGAAATTTTTCCAAACACATTCTATGAGAGCAGCATTACCCTGGCAGCAAAGCTAGAACACAAACAAAAAAAGAAAACTCCAGGACAGTATTCCCAATGAACATAGATGCAAAAATCCTCAACAAAGTCCTACCAAACTGAATCCAACAACACATCAAAAAGATAATTCAACATGATCAAGTGGGGATTCGTTCCAGGGATGCAAAGATGATTCAGCATACACAAATACGTAAATGGGATACATCACAGAATGAAGGACAAAAACTATGCGATCATCTCAATAGACATAGAAAAAGTATTTGATAAAATTCAACATCCATTCATGATAAAAAAAAAACTCTCAACAAATTAGGCATAGAAGAAATGTACCTCAAGATAATAAAGGCCATATATAACAAATCAACAGCCAACATCATACTGGATAAGGAAAAGCTGAAAGCTTTCTCTCTAAGATCTGGAACAAGACAAAGAGGCCCACTTGAACATTTTTATTCAGTATAGTACTAGGAGTCCTAGCCAGAGCAAGAGAAAAGAAATAAAGAGCATTCAGATTGGAAAAGAGGAAGTTAAATTGTCCCTGATTGCAGATAACATGATCTTATCCCAAACACTCTGTCCAAAACTGTTAAAACTAGTAAAAAAAATTCAGTAAAGTTGCAGGACACAAAATCAATATACAAAAATCAGTAGTGTTTCTATAACAATGAGTTATGTCAAAAAGAAATCAAGAAAGCAATCATATCTACAATAAGTCACCCCCCCAAAAAAAATACTTAGAAATAAATTTAACCAAGGAGGTGAAAGATATCTACAATGAAAATTATAAAACATTGAAAACATTGAAGAAGACACAAATAACTGGAAATACAGTCCATGTTTATGGATTAGAAGAATCAATATTGCTAAAATGTTATACTACCCAAAGTGGTCTAGGATTCAATGCAATCCATATCAAAATACCAATTACACTCTTCACAGAAATATAAAAACCAATGCTAAAATTCATATGGAACCACAAAAGACCCCAAGAAGCCAAAGCAATCTTAAACAAAAAGAACAATAGTGGCATCATGCTATCTGACTTTAAAATATACCACAAAGCTATGGTAACCAAAACATCATGGCACTAGCATAAAAATAGACACGAGAAAAATAGACTACCCAGAAACAAACCCATACATCCACAGCCAACTGATTTTTTACAAAAGTTCCAAGTACACACAATGGGGAAAGGACAGTCTCTTCAATAAATGGTGCTGAGAAAACTGAATATCGATATGCAGAAGAATGACACTAGATCCTTAACTCTCACCTTATACAAAAATTAATTCAAAATGGATTAAAACCTTAAATGTAATATTTTAAACTATCAAACAACAAAACGAAAACATAGGAGACACTTCTATGACATTGGTCTAGGCAAAGAGTTTTTGGATAAAACCTCAAAAGCACAGGCAACAAAAGCCAAATATAGACAAATGGAATTATGTCAAACTAAAAGGCTTCTGCACAGCAAAGAAAACAGCCAACAGAGTGAAAAGACAACCTACGGAATTGAAGAATATATTTGTATATGCCTCTGATAAGGGGTTATATATCCAAAATATATAAGAAACTCAAACATCTCAACAACAAAAAATCCAATTAAAAAATGGGCAACAGGCTGGGCGAAGTGGCTCATGCCTGTAATCCTAGCACTCTGGGAGGCCCAGGCGGGCAGATCGTTCCAGTTCAGGAGTTCAAAACCAACCTGAGCAAGAGCGAGACCCCATCTCTACTATAAATAGAAAGAAATTAATTGGCCAACTAATGTATATAGAAAAAATCAGCCATGCATGGTGGCATGTGCCTGTAGTCCCAGCTACTCAGGAGGCTGAGGCAGCAGGATTGCTTGAGCCCAGGAGTTTGAGGTTGCTGTGAGCTAGGCTGACACCACGGCACTCACTCTAGCCTGGGCAACAAAGTGAGACTCTGTCTCAAAAAAAAAAAAAATGGGCAACAACAATACATGAGTGGATTAATAAAATGTGGTATATGTATGCCGTGGAGTACTACTCAGCCCTGAAAAACAATAGTGAATTAGTACCTCTTGTATTATCCAGCTCCATAGCCGGAGCACATTTTTCTAAGTGAAGTATCACAAGAATGGAAAATAAGCACCACATGTGCTCACCGTTAAATTGGTACTAATTGATCAACATTTATGTGCACACATGGAAGTAACATTCATAGGGTGCCAGGCAGGTTGGAGGGGGGTGGAGGGGATGGGCAAGTTCATACCTAATAGGTGCGGTGCACACTGTCTGGGGGATGTCACGCTTGTAGCTCTGATTCGGGTGGTACAAAGGCAATTTATGTAACCTAAGTATTTGTACCCCCACAATATTCTGAAATAATAATAATAATGATAATTTAAAAATAAAACAAAATAATTTTTAAATGGTTAAAGACTTGAGTAAATATTTCTCAAAAGAAGACATAAAAATGGCCAACAGATATACAAAAATAAAGTTAGACATCACTAACCATCAGGGAAATGCAAATCAAATCCACAATGAGATATCACCTCACTCTAAGTCAGAATCAAAAGATTCAAAAAATCAAAAGATAAGTGTTGAACAGGATGTGGACAAATAGAACCTTTAGCAGTATGAAGGTTTCTCAAAAAACTAAAAACAGAACAACCATATCATCCAGCAATCCCACTACTGGGTGTATAGTCAAAGGAAATAAAATCAGTATGTCAAAAAGATATCTGCACTCCTATGCATATTGCAGAACTATTTAGAATATCCAAGATATGAAATCAACCTAAATGTTGATCAACCAATGAATGGAAAGACTATGTGGCACATATACATGATGGGATACTATTCAGGCATAAAAGGTAATGAAATTCTGTCATTTGCAGCAATGTGGATGAACTTGGAAGGCATTATGTTAAGTGAAATAAGCCAGGCATAGAAAGACGAATACCACATGGTCTCACTCCATGTGAAATCTAAAAAGTGTTCTCATAGAAGTAGAGGGTAAAACAGTGGTTACCAGAGGATGAGGACAGGAGAGGAGTGGAAGATGGTGAGAGATGGTCAATGGGTACAAAACACTTAGATACAAGGAATAAGTTCTGGTGTTCTATTGTATAGTAGGTGACTATAATTAATAATAGTGTGTCACGTATTTTAAAATAGCTTGAAGAAAGGCTTTTGAATATTCTCATCTCAAAGAAATAATAAATGCTTAAGGTGATAGCTATGCTAATTACCCTGATCTGATCATTACAGAATTGATACATGTGTTAAAACATCATGTTATGCCACATGAATATATACAACTATCATGTGTCGATAACAAATTTTTAAAAGGAGAGAATTGAGGATGTTCGAATGCTGAGAAAAAGGAGCCAAGAAGGAGGGAAAAGGTGAAGATTGAGAAGAAAGAAGGAACAATTAATTGAGGAGGATGCTTGAAAAAGTGAGAAGGAAGGGATTCTTGCCACAGGCAGAAAGATTTTTATTGGATAAGAGGAGAGCCCTTCCTTAACAAGGATAGACATGAAAGAGAATCCTAAGGCTATGAATATAGCTAAGCGTGTAAATCTAATGGAAGGGAATTGAGGGAGTTTCCTTCCAATGGCTCTGATTTTCTTTGTCAGACAGAAGGGCAGGTCACCTGAGAAAAAGAAGATAAAGGAGAGTTAGAAGTTGGAGGAGAGTTTAAGGCTGAAAGAGTCATTGTGGAGCATGGTAAGGCAAGTTGAGTTAGGTTATAAAGCAGGATTGTTGGGTACAACTGAAAGTATACTTGACATTAGTGAAAATTATACCCACACACTAGGGGTTGATGATATGAATATCAGCCTGCTGGGCTGCATGATCTTTTCCAACAGGGATCAGTAGCCTAAAGGCAGGCAGGAGGAAGGAGACTTTTGTATTAAACTTTTTACAAATAAGTGAAACAGTATGGAGAGAGGTGGGGGGGGTGTGATATTGATTAATTGGTAATAAAATAAAGTAATAAAACATAAAGCAATAAAAAACATAAGTAATAAAAAATAAAAAAACATAAAGTAATAAAATAGAGTAATAAAACATACATTGGAAAGCAGGGAAGTGGACAGCAGATTGGGCTAATGGACAGGCAGAATGTGGAGCTATCAATGTACTAAAAATTATGTGAAAGTCTAAGCACAGTTATATTTAGAAAATCGTATCAACAAACTAGAAGGGAAGATGAATGCAGTTAGAGGGTGAGGTGCCGGAGTTACGCTTGTGCCACACCTGTAGCAATTTAGGCAATCTGGAGTTTTATTACCATAATAATGATGGCTTTAGATTCCTAAGAAGGAGTATAGATAAAATACTCTCACCTTTGGAATAAAGTATTCTCTAAACTGAACGTCCTCAGTCACCGCATGGGGCAGGTTGGTGGGGACCAGGTCAATGTATCTCTGGATCTCGTGCACCACGGCATCCGTGTAGGGCATGCGGCTCCTGTCCTGCATGCAGGGCATCCGGTGTCTGCCAATCACACGATCAATCTCCTCCTGGACTTTAGCTGGCCAGGCAGGAATCAGAATTTATGTTAAATAGAATAGACTTGAAGTACGTTTTGTTTGACCCCTTAATCACTGTCACATTGTGGTTGGAAATGGGGAAATGGGAGAATTTTGTGACACTACCTCCATAAGGGAATAAAAGAAACAGAGTTTCAGTTCCCTGGGCAAATTGAAAACTCATTAGAGACTTAAATATATGCATCTATTATGTAAAACACAATTGAACTGTGAGACTCATTTCTCCACTCTGATTTTCTACTTTGTGTACTTTTGCTTGATAGACTCGGGGATCTAGGATCTTGAAGATTCACTAATGACTTTGTTGTTTAACCACTTTGTGTATGCCAATTTTTATTTTTAATGTGTAAGTTTCAAGAGGGTAAGAGTTACCCAGTGCATACACATAGTCATAAAGTGGTGCAAAGGACATTGGAAACTAAGAAGCAGGGATGATGGGAGGAAGGTAAAGGATAAAAACTTACCTATAGGGTAAAATGCACACTATTCTGATGACAGGCACACTAAATGCCCTGACTTTAGCATTGTATAATTTATCCACATAACAAGAACACTTGTACCCCTGATATTTTGAAGTAAAAATTATTTAAAAAAGAACTACCCAGTGAGTGAACACTTAATAAGTAGAACACTTAGTTGGTTCAGCAGAGAGAAACAAAAAGTCAGTTAACATTTATTTAGAATGTAATATATGACAGACATCCTGCAGTATTCATTATATTACTTTATAATTCCTCAAAATAGTTCTATGTGTTAGGCATTATTTTTTGTATTTTACAAAGAAATGGGTCCAGAGAAGTAAATATGTTTCCTAAGGATACCAAGGGACTTTATGGTCTTTCCCATATTATCCCCCTTAAATAGATAAGGGACCAGAGGTATGGAGAGGTTATCTTGAGTCTGAGGTCACACCTACCTACTAGCAGAGCCAGAATTTGAAGCCACCACTGTTAGGGTCTATAACCCATTTTTCAAAGTAGCAATGCCATGAGGCTAATTTGGTCAAATGGTATTTATCTATTTACCTAAAGCATGTGTCTTTGTAATAGACCGTGTGGAAATTCTGTGGTTTGATAGCTATAAAAAAGAAAAAGTTCGGAATTTCAGACAAGTTTTAAATTTCACCTTCTCAGGTTGAGAGGCTGGCGTTTCATCTAGAAGAGAGTGGTGAAAGAAAGTAGTCAGGAACTACTTCTAAAATTGGAATGCTCAAGTAGAACAGCACAATGAGGAATGAAAATGGAAAGAAAGAAAAAGGAAATGGATATAGGCATGACTTAAGGAAAAAAATCCAAATGGAAAACAAAAATGGAAGTGACAGGGAAATATAACACACAAAGGGCTTTTGCAATGTGCACAAGATTCAAAGGTTTGGGAAAAAATGTCATATACTACTTCTAGTCATGGTCAACATAGGTCTTATAAGAGTTAGAGAAGCTATTGGGCTGAGAGAGTCTGTGTCATGTGAAAGAAACACAGAAACACCCTATCTCACAATGGGCACTAGTAAAGGGATTTTTAGGCTATGCTTGTAAATTGGACTATTCAGAAAGTATCTGCTATTTATGGTGGGAGGGCAGAAGGACCTTAAACAAGTGGAAAAATTTGGTGCTAATGTCATGGAGATAAACTTCATGAGGTTTAATCATACTAAAAATGCACCAAATCAAAAAACATGAAGTAGTAGCGAAGGAAATATCCTCTTTGGTGAAGATACAATTAAGAAGAGGTAGAAAAAAATAGAGAAGTTGCATTTGAAAGAGAAGTTATGTTTGTGAGGAAAATTTGTTTATCCAAAAGGGTATATTAAAAAAATTTTTTTTCTTTGGGTATAACTCTTTTACTGGAGAGTGAGTCTTTTTGATGGAGAAAGATTATAACTTTGTTGAGTGAATCCCTACATTGCAAATGCATTTGGGTAGAAATATCTTTTAACAAAAATATATTTATCTGGACATGGAAAGCATATCGTGTGGGATCTCTTTGGAGAATGAGAGAAGCTAGTTCTACCCAGATGCTAAGACAACCCTATTACTGCATTTTCCCCAACCCAAATCAAAGATACTGCACAAGGGCAGACAGAATAATGACCTCTGCCCTTCAAACCTCTGTCGTTTAATTATTTCGTTCTCTTTTTATACTATGATCTAATTTGAATTGAATCCATCCAATGGTAGATAAATGTACAAATGATGAGAAATTTTCTTGTAATTGTCCAGGCAGGTAAAGGGTGGGATGGTTATCAGTATTGTCTGCCACTGTCTACCTGGAATTTTATCCTTCCCATCATCTGTGATCATACCTGAGACCTCAGGGTGCTTCAGCAGGAGCAAGAGTCCATATCTCAACGTGGTGCTCGTTGTCTCTGTGCCTGCACTAAACATGTCCCACACGGTAATGACCAAGTTGTCCATGGTGAATTCAGACTGCTTATTGTGTTTTTCCTAGCAATGACATGTTAGAATTGCTTGATAAATAAAAAGCTTTGCAGGTAACAGAAAATTACTAAATATAACATCAGTATCTGAAAAATTAAGCCAGATGTTAAGGTGTACTATAGCTGAAGGTAAAGTTGGAGGACTCATCAGGATTTCTTTGAACTGTTAAAACATAATCACAGTTAAAAACTTCCAAGTCCTTTCTGATTCCTCACTTTCTCACCCACTAGAGCCAATGAGTTCCTTTGTAATTTTTTTCAAACATAATTTTTATTAAGCCATCACTGCTAATCACCGTCAATTCTAGCATCTATTTTCTATTTTATCATGTCTAAATTTCTCATTCAAGCCTCCAGAACTGCCTACCCCCAAACTACATCACTATTCCCAATCCCATCAGTCATTACACCCATCACTGGTTCTCAATTGCAATTAAGATAACCTCTTAGAAAATTCCACATACTTGATTACTACACTTATCATTCCCTAGACCTATTTTGTCTTCCCTGTTAATCTAAGCCAGAGTTTCCCCAAAACCTATCTCATCTGGATTTTTTCTAAAGGTAAGCCTTTCTGGATTCCTATGCATTCCTGTGTTCTTTCGTTGCATCTTCCATTCACAGAACGCATTTTATGTACCATGATATGTTACCATCAATCTTGATTATATGTGTGTGAGTGCATGCATGTGTGTATGTTTGTTGATCTGTCCCCAAATAAACAACCAGCTTTAACATGGTAAATATAAAACATTCTAAATCTTTTTCAGTGAGAATTTAGAAATATTCTAAAACACTCAATATGGTTTGCACAAGCACCAGGTTGCACAAGCAATGACTACATCTGTAGGAAAGAACATTTCCTGATGAAATATCCCAATTTCACCAGGAAAAACAAAGCAAATCTATAATCACATCACCCACAAAGATGAAATAGCAAATCAGGGACACTTTATACCTTTTCCATTTTAATCAAGAAGTAATCAATAAAGTCCTGAGGGTTATTGATGTCCAGAGATTCTTGATGCTGTTTTATTTCCTCCAAAATAAACTCTTTTTGGCAAGCAACATTTTTAAACAACTCCTTGTGACTTCCCGGGAGATAATGTAAAAGTGGAAAAGCATTGTAGAGCTGAGAGAAGGAAGAACTCCCCGTTAATTCACTCAGCAAACATTTACAGACCTTTATTGTGTGTCAGACGCTTTGCTCTATACTGAGTAGGTAAAGATGAATGAGACTTATTTCCTGCAGTAGCTAGCACACACTTGGAATTTGAAGGAGAGAGCACTGATAAAGTACCTAGAGTTACAGTATGCACAGGTTACAAAGCAACTTCAAAGCCATTCACATTCATTTCCTAACCACAACTCTCTGAAGGAAGTCAGGAACTTACTACTGTTGTCACCTCTCTCCAAATGAGAACACTGAGGTTCAGAAAGGTTAGTCAATAATTCTAAGACAACAAACTAGTGACATCAGAGCTAGAACCCAGTGTTCCTAACAGTTTGCCCTACACATATTTCTCAAGGGAATCATCTAAAAACATACGGGGGCTCATACTCTTTTGTCGTAATGAAGAAAGAGTACATCAGAAAGATTAATGACCTGCCTGAATCACTTAGCATGTTTTTGGTAATTTATGCACATTCCACTTCAGAAATGTGCATACTTACCTTACTCATCTGGCCTTTGCTTCTCCTAGAGATCCCTGACTCTGCTTTAGACAGTACCTAACGACTTAATACCCTTGGTAGGCACAAAAGCGATTTATTCAGGCTAGTACCTTGACTCAAACTAGTTACAGAATCAGAGAATCTAGATTCTAGACCTAGCTCATGCATTGTCTTGGTTACGTTACTTTGCAAATTATGATTAATAACTCTGAGTCACAGTTTTCTGTTCCAAAAAATTAGAGGTCAGACTTTTTGTTCTCTGAGGTCCTTCTCAGGTGAGACACATCATGATCTTATGTTCTATACAGAATTTTAATTCTTAATTATGGTACACCATAGATTACTAACACTTTCTGACAGTGTGCCATAGTAAGAAACATATTTTATATTATTGTCCTCTATCCCTATAGATATAAAAATCAGAAAAAAAATTTTCTCAAAAAAATACTTGACTGTAAATGAAACACTCTAAGTTATATTTGTCTTTCTATTCAATGTTATGTCATGTTTTAAATTTAATTTCAACACATTAAATTGATTTGGTAACTCACTGATGGTTTACAAATGATAGTTTGATAAATACTACTTTGGCCACTTTTAAATAGGGCAGAGGAATGAGGCAGGTATTAGCAATAGATTAGCTAGAAAATTATTACCCATTTAAATAGAACGTTGACCTTACCTGCATCCAAGGGCTGCTTACAATCAAAAGGTTTTCGTGAAAATACTTCATCAAGGTTTGAAATTTCGGATCATTGTAGTCAAAACGAGTCTGGAAAATGACAGAGCAGATCACATTGCAAGGAACACAGGCCAGAAGGAAAGTGGGATCACAAGGAGATGCTAAAAACAATAGAAACGAGAAGTTAGTACATAATTTTCATATAAATCTTAAATTGACTGTTTCAAATAATTGGAAAAGGTTGACTTCAAAGATTTTTTTAAGAATAAGAACGATCTGGACATGTCACTACTATAAACTTCACATGCCTAAAATAAAATTTATTGTGTTTACCAAACAAAACTGTTTAATCCAGTCCAGTTTGTTAATTTTCCCCCAAATAGTCTATTTGCATCATTTTCCAAATTTTTTTTTAATTTACCAGAAATAAGACAAATAAAAAGAGGTCATTTAAAAATATCTGTACTACCAGGTATGGTGGTGTACACCTCTGGTCCCAGCTACCCAGGAAGCTGAGACAAGAGGGTCGCTTAAGCCCAGAAGTTCGAGACCAGCCCGGGCAACATAGTGAGGCCTTGTCTTTAAAAATACATAAATGTGTTTCTGTGTGCGTGTGTGTGTGTGTGTGTGTGTGTGTGTGTCTTTAAAGGTGTGGAATTTATTTAGTGTGGCTACTTCCTCATGATGCCCACAGAAAGCTGAGCAACCGAATAAGAAATTCAAGGGACTGAGGAAACTTGAAAATGTAATTTATGAAACATAGTTGAAAAACCTGGATGTGCTTATAAAAGAGAAGAATAATGAAAGACATTGGATTTATGTTCAGATAATTGAAAAAATATTTATAGCTTTGGAAAGAAGCTTCCTATATTAATATAAAAAAGAGTATGACTATTTTTTGATGTTTCCTGCAAGTGTTGAATCCCCTTCCCTTCTACCCACCTCTAGACAGGCTGATAATGAAGCTCAAGTGCGCCCTCCTCTGGCACAAACAGGAAGTTTGAGCCACACAAACCCTGGCCTGCATACAGGAATCCTCTCGTCCCAGCCCTGCCACTAACCACCATAAAAACCTCATGCCAGTTTCCTTTCCCTGCTCTCTCAGGCCATTTTTGGGCATGCTTGGGAGTCACTCTGCTCTTCATAGAAAGCAGCATCATAAAACTTTCCTATCCTATTGGAGAGGGGCTGTGGCATCATTAATCTCAACATCTGAAATCATCTGAGATCTGGGATGAAAGGTTTTAATAGATCATTCCTGTTTCTGTCTTGTGACAACCATAACACTATAACTCCAGAAGGAAAAAACCAGCTGGGATCAAAAAGGAGAAGTTACAGGGAAAAAAAAAACAGTCTGTTCAGCCTGTAAAAACAACTTCCAGCAGTTAGAGTTATCCAGTGATGAAATGGGCCTCCCCAAGAGTGTGAGGCTCCCATCACCAGGTGGAATCAAGCAGAGTCTGGGTGATCACAGATCATGAAGCTGAGAGCAACTCTGGGAAAAGTTGAACCAATAAGTTCTGCTTGAAATATAAATTGAGTGTATAAAATCATTTCCCAGATAATATGTATCAAGACCCAATATTCATTGATTTAGTAATTCTATTTCCAAAATTCTAAGAAAGTAGTCAGAGATTTGCAATAATTCATATGGATTGCACATTTTTATATTAATAACAGCAAAGACTGGAAAAAACCCTTCTGGCTGAAATAAAGGATTAGCTAAATAAACTACGATATGTCAAAAATAATGGACTACTGCCGTACTATTTGGTTAATAATGTTCTTGAAAAACATTTCAAAGTTAAGCATATGAAAATATTCATTCAATATATTATACTTAAAAATAGGTTTATAGAACAATATACACAGCATATACCTCATGTTCTTATCCTTTTTCTGTCAGATCTCCCCTCAATTCCTAGTTAATATGTATCAAAAGCCCAAACAATGTTCACTAACATTCTAACTCGATTTCCAGAAATTAGGAAGAAACCAGATCATGCAAATATTTGCAGTATTAATAGCAGCAAGATATTAATAAAATAGAAAACAGCCTATCTGGGCCAGGCACAGTGGCTCCCACCTATAATTCTAGCATTCTGGGAGGCCAAGGCAGGAAGATCGCTTAAGCTCAAGAGTTCAAGACCAGTATGAGCAAGAGTGGGATGGAAACCTGTCTCTACAAAAAATAGAAAAAAAGTTAGCCGGGCATGGTGGCTCGTGCCTGTAGTCCCAGCTACTCGGGAGGCTGAGGCAGGAGGATCGCTTGAGCCCAGGAGTTTGAGGTTGCAGTGAGCTCAAATAACGTCACTTCACTCTAGCCAGGACAACAGAGTGAGACTCTGTTTGAGAAGACGAAGAAAAAGAAGAAGAAGAAGAGGAGGAGGAGGAAGAAAACATCCTATCTGGACAATAATATAACATTGATTTAAAAAGACAATGTGAATTCACCATAGAGAATATAGTATTAAGTTAATAAGTTCTCTAAGAGTATTTAAATATTGAGGTTGTAAAGCCACATATATCTTATGATTCTGATCTTACCCCCTCCCTGCTTGGTCTGCCACCCACCCCTCCCTCCTTCATCCTCTCTGCCAGTCCCGCGTGACTGTACACACATCTACACACTGCAGAGATCCGTGCTGCTCTAGCTCCCTCCCTTCCCATGCACACTCCTCCACGGGAGCTGAATTACAGCCCCGCACATTGGGAGAATTTGGCAGTCCCTGTATTGTTTCTCAAGTAGTTACTAGAAAAGTTACTTAATTTTTCAAGTTAATGCTGCCACAGCCGATTACCAAAATCCATGTTCTCCTCTCCTTCCCATGCACAGAGTGAACCACATTTTCCAGTTCCTCTTGCAATTAGGTGTGACCCTGTTTCTAACTTATAGCCATGGCATACGAGGGAAGTTTTGGGTGCCACCTCTTTGCCTGGCCCAAACACTATTTGTTCTTTTCCTTGCTCTTTTCTCCTTCCACTACCACACAAAGAGATGAACCCCGGGTGATACTGGAAGCCAGATGTCGAAGATATCAATGTCCCTATCAACCTGGTGTCTGAAAAGGCTGTTATGCTGACCACCTCACCTCTTATTACTACTATTAATATATGAGCAAAAAGTAAATGTCTGTTGTGCTTGAGTTGTCATATCTTTTTTTTAGTCTATTTGTAATAGCATTTATTCTACTCAAACTGTTATTGTTACTTATATAAAGAAATACACACCATTGGTTTTTTTTAACGCTTCCACCAGATACAAGACTTCCTCTTGAATTCGGTCTTCAATGGTTTTTTTCCCCATCCCCATATTCCGCAAAACTGTGAGGGAGAAACGCCGGGTGTGCTTCCACGTGTTTCCATTGCTGAAAACAATTCCTACCAGGACAAAGAGAGAGAGAGAGAGAAGTCTATCCTCCATTGCTGTAATTCTAGCTGAGAGTACTCATCTCAGGAAATGATGCTGACACTTAAGCAGGAATGGGAATATAGTGGTGTCAGCCTAAGGAGTTCTCATGAGCCCAACCTCACTTGCCTCCCCCATTAACCGAACCTAATATTTTGCTGTCAGAACTCTTGATTTTACATATTACTAAACTCTTCTTGTCCCATCCGTTGCTCTAAACCTCAGAATAATTCTGTAAACTGAGTGTTTTGTCCCCATTTTACTGACAAAGATGTGGAAAATCCTGGAGGGAAAATGCTTGCTCTATGATCACACAGCAGTAAATCATGGTGAGTCCAATTCATAGGTTAAATTCTCAGGGCTGGCTTTTCCGATTGTAAGTGAATTTTTAAAGAAACAATAAGAGGAGGCAATTCTCAAGAGAAGGTGAGACAGCATCTGCATTGGAAGGAATCTCATAACAACCTATTTCTCAGATAAGGGATACAGTCATTGACAGATAACTCTTCTTATTTTAACATCCCTTTCTATTTGTTAGATATTTCCATGCAATATGGTCTTAACCCCAAGGAAGCCCAACATCAGACTTCCAGAGTCAAAACCAGATCGGAGAAAAATAAGCTCATAGGAAACTTGTCCAGGAAGCCTCTTAGAGAACAATGCAGAGGAGACAACCCCATTCAGGTCTTATCTCTTTTTGTCAGAACCCAGTGATCCACCAGAAGACTGGACAGTTTAAGGCCAGCTCCAAATACAAGTGGGAAATAGGTCAGTACTTAACAAAAAATGTTTTTTCTAATATCAATTCCAATCCATACTCATGTGTTTCTCCATGATCATCTTTTCAAAGCATATCTTTGCTTTATGCTTTGTATTCTATTGGATTCCAATATTCCTATGGTTTTTCACAGTAGAAGATTGAAGATGAGGCTGAAAATATTTTAAACTTATGTTGGTTCCATGCATACTATACAAGCTTCCTAAAATAGTCTCTGGGTATCCATGAATCAGACCAGGAAGCAAAATGTTTGGTGAATAGTATAATTTAGTCATTTTCCTCCTCTCTCTTTTCCCTTTGTTTCTTTCTCATTATCTTAACTGGCCATAATTTAAAATGAAGGTGTCTTAGTCACAAATTCATAGAACACTAGTGGTTAGATGGTTTGTTTTCCTTTATATAAAAATTATTCATAGTCTTATATTGGAATTATGAAAAGTATGACTTCTAAATTTCTCTAAGTGCTTATATAATTTCTCAATTTCTTAGCCTATTTGGAGTCTTTGCAACTTACAAACCCACACACATTCCCCAAAGAGAAACATACCTGAATTGTGGGCAATTTTTTCAAACACTGGGAGATTCCCTCTGCCAGAAAATTCTTCTCCCCGATCGATTAGGGCTTCTTTCACTGCTTTGTATCCATGCAACACCACAGTGCGCTTCATGCCAAAATACAGAGTGAACACAGGGCCATAATCTTTTGCTAGCTGGAAAAATAACAGAAGATGCAAGAAAAGTGAGAATTTTACAACGGAAGTGTAGATAAATGAGAGAAATATTTTTAATCTTACTGAAAAGACATTTTAATATTCATCTACCTGTTATAAAATATTTCAACTTTTTTTTTTTTTTTTTTTTTTTTTTTTTTTTTTTTTTTTTGGAGACAGAGTCTCACTTTGTTGTCCAGGCTAGAGTGAGTGCCGTGGCGTCAGCCTAGCTCACAGCAACCTCAAACTCCTGGGCTTGAGTGATCCTTCTGCCTCAGCCTCCCGAGTAGCTGGGACTACAGGCATGCGCCACCATGCCCGGCTATTTTTTATATATATATCAGTTGGCCAATTAATTTCTTTCTATTTATAGTAGAGACGGGGTCTCGCTCTTGCTCAGGCTGGTTTTGAACTCCTGACCTTGAGCAATCCGCCCGCCTCGGCCTCCCAAGAGCTAGGATTACAGGCGTGAGCCACAGCGCCCGGCCAAAATATTTCAACTTTTAAAACCAGTTATTTAATAAGAAAGTACATTATTTAAGTGGTGGTTATCATCACATTATCAGTAATATTGCTATTAATAATAATAATAATATCCTCAATAGTTATCCTTTATTCAGCTTCTACTGTATAACAGGGGCTATATTATGCATTTTACTCCTATTATTTTATTAACTTTTTTTCTACAAAACCAACTGCATCAAATTTTTCCTTCCTTCCTACAGTTACAATAAATGTGTTTCTCCTGCTGTTTAAGGAAAACCCTTCTAACTTGCCCCATGTGTAGACTAATAATCGTCCCTCATTATCCATTTTCCATACTTCTTTTTAACACCAGAGACCTCTAAGTTTTAATAATACCTGAGAGCATAACAGCCTGGTCATAGACATTTCTCATCCTTACTTGAAGCTAGATGAAGCCATGTGAGGAAGTTTCCATGAACTGATGTTAGCAGAAGTGAAGTGTGCAAATTCTACACCATAACAGGTAATTGCTTGCCCTTCATTTCTTCCCCTACCTATGGGTTGAAATGATAGCGTGGAGATGCTCCCACTGCGACTATGCAAATGAGAATAATAGCCTAGGGGCACAAGATAGTAGAACTGCAAGATTGAGAAAAACTAGTTATCTAAATGACCTCATAGAGCAGTATCATGCCATCAGCACCCACCTCTATATCATTATGTGAGATAAAAATGAATTATTAATTTCTTTTAGCCATTGTGAGGCAGTATAGGGACGCCACTCAACCCTCACTGCTGACCAAGGGAGGCAACATGGGACAGCATGACCCAGCCTAATTAACTGTAGAAGAAAAAACAGATGATCTCTTAGCTGCTGGAATTCAGCCCCTACCCATATTAAGGAGGGAGTCAAACTGTCTGTATCTTGAGTAATGTTTTCCAAGACCACTGAAGCAAGATGCTGACACCAGCTGATAAGGAACCTGGCTGCAAAGAAACCAGACCTACCCAGATCTAACCACCTCAAGCCAAAAAGGACCCCAATACTGACTTTAAACTGACTTTTCCTTCATTGTGATCTCATTTTAGTGCTAAAAACCATTTAATGCACATCTCTCACTTTATGTTTTTTGGCTGATGACTTATTACTTGCTGTTTATGTTTATTTTAGACTATGGAAATGATGTGATACAAAAAGCAAATTAGAGTGATTTTCTTATTCGAGTTCAAATGGCTCAGAAAGCAGCAGAGACAACTTGCGCCATCAACAACACATTTGGCCCAGGACCTGATAATGAACATACAGTGCAGTGGTGGTTCAAGAAGATTTACAAAGGAGATGAGAGCCTTGAAGATGAAGAGCGCAGTGGCCAGCCATCGGAAGTTGACAACAACCAGTTGAGAGCAATCATCGGAGCTTACAACTATAGGAGAAGTTGCTTTAAGAACTCAATGTCGACCCTTCAATGGTCATTTGGCATTTTAAGCAACTTGGAAAGGCGAAAAAGCTCCAGAAGTGGGTGCCTCATGAGCCGACCAAAAATCAAAAAATCGTAGTTTTTAAGTGTCATCTTCTATTATTGTGCGCAAAAACAATGAACCATTTCTAGATCAGATTGTGACATGTGAGGAAAGTGGATTTTATACAACAACTTGTGATGACTAGCTCAGTGGTTGGACCAAGAAGAAGCTCCAAAGCACTTCCCGAAGCCAAACTTGCACCAAAGAAGGTCATAGTCACTGTTTGGTGGTCTGCTGCCAGTCTGTTCCACTACAGCTTTCTGAATCCTGGGGAAACCATTACATCTGAGAAGTATGCTCAGCAAATCAATGAGATGCACTGAAAACTGCAATGCCTGCAGCTGGCATTGGTCAACAGAAAGGGCCCAATTCTTCTCCACAACAGCGCCCAGCCACACGTCACACAACCAACATTTCAAAAGTTGAACGACTTGGGCTACAAAGTTTTGCCTCATCTGCCATATTCATTTGACCTCTTGCCAACTTACTACCACTTCTTCAAGCATCTCAACAGCTTTTTTTTTTTTTTTTTTTTTTTTTTTAACAGAGTCTCACTTTGTTGCCTAGGCTAGAGTGAGTGCCGTGGCGTCAGCCTAGCTACAGCAACTCAGACTCCTGGGCTCAAGCGATCCTTCTGTCTCAGCCTCCCAAGTAGCTGGGACTACAGGCATGCACCACCATGCCCGGCTAATTTTTTCTATATATATTAGTTGGCCAATTAGTTTCTTTCTATTTATAGTAGAGACGGGGTCTCGCTCTTGCTCAGGCTGGTTTTGACTCCCCGACCTCGAGCAATCCGCCCGCCTCGGCCTCCCAGAGAGCTAGGATTACAGGAGTGAGCCACCGCGCCCGGCCTCAACAGCTTTTTGCAGGGAAAACACTTCCACAACCAGCAGGATGCAGAAAATGCTTTCCAAGAGTTCGCTGAATCCTGAAGCACGGATTTTTATGCTACAGGAATAAACAGACTTAATTCTCATTGGCAAAAATGTGTTGATTGTAATGGTTCCTATTTTTATTAATAAAGATGTGTTTGAGCCTTTTTACAGGGATTTAAAATTCAAGGTCCCAAACTGCAATTCCTTTTGTATTCACCCAATAGCTCCATTTTGCTTCAGATCCCTGTGATAATGTCCTTTAGGTTAAAGCTTCTGCTTTGCTCTTCATGTAAGCTAGAGGGAAGTGATAACCATCCTTTTCACAAAACCAACTCCCAGGGAGAAAAGGAAAGCGTATACACAAGTAACGATGCTATGTTAAAAATTTATAGGAACATCATGACCTGACCTACACCCTCCAAAGTTAACTGACCAAGAGCAAAGAAACTTTACAACCTCTTCAGAACCTCACTGATACACAGATGTCTGCCAACCTTGGTTACCTTTTGCAACCTCCCTTTCTCCTTCACTTAAGACAAAAGGAACCTAAAGTTCACACTAACTTAAAATGGTTCTTTAGGATATTAGTCCTCCATCTTCACGACTTACTGGCTTTCTGAATAAAAATAACTTTCCTTGCGCCAACACCTTGTTTCTTGACTTATTGGCTGTCCTGCAGCAAGGATACAATCTTGGACTTGGTTACAAATGCAACCTTCTACTAATGATCAAAGAGAACAGAAGTTCACCCCACTTGTGAATTCTTTGAGTAAATGTGAATGGCTTAAACCCCCACTAAAGAGACATAGGCTGGCTGAATGGATAAAAAAAATACAAGCCAAGTATCTTCTGTCCCCAGGAAACACATCTAACTCACAAGGACTCATTCAGACTCAAGGTGAAGGGATAGAAAACAACATCCCATGCAAATTGAAACCAAAAGAAAGCTCTGGTAGCCATTCTCATATCAGATAACACACACTTCAAATAAACAAAATTGAAGAAAGCAAAGATGGTCATTATACAATGGTGAAGGGAAAAATTTAACAAGAAGACATAACAATCCTAAATATTTATGCACCAAACATAGTTGCACCCAGATTCATACGGCAAACCTGACCTAAATAAAATGATAATCAGCAGCATCGTAATAGCCAGGGACTTCATCAGCCCACCGACAGAACAGGACAGATATCCCAAGCAGAAAGGAAGCAAAGAAACAATGGACTTAAACGGAACTCTACAACAAATGGGCCTAACAGACATTTATAGAACATTTTACCTAAAGGTCATGGAACATTCTCTAAGATTGATCACATCTTACAACACGAAACATGTCTCAACAAATCTGCTGCTCTAGATTATCTGTCAGCAGAACAAGGAGGTGTTTGTGTGACAGCTAACATCTTATTTTGGTTGGGGGGAGTACTTTTTGTTTTTTGAGACAGAGTCTTACCCTGTTGCTCATGCTAGAATGCAGAGGCATCATCATAGCTCACTACAATCTCAAACTCCTGGGCTTAAGCATCCTTCCTGCCTCAACCTCCTGAGTAGCTGGGACTACAAGCACACATCACCATGCCTGGCTAATTGCTAATTTTTCTAATCTTTGTGTAGAGACAGAGTCTTGCTATGTTGCTCAGGCTGCTCTCAAATTCCTGACCTTAAGCAATCCTCCCACCTTGGCTCCCAAAGGGCTGGGATTATAGGTGTAGAGCCACCGCACCTGGCCAAACACCTCATTTTATACTTAAACACCTCAAGAATGGTCGAAACTGAGCTCAATAAAATCAGAATTCAGGCAAATTGGCTACAGCAAGTGCCATCCGTAAATAAGCTATCCTTTCCTTGATTTATTCAGTTGGTTACCAGAAAAGATAAGTTCCTGGATTATTTACTTGGTTACCAGAATAGATAAATTCTGTTACAAGTTGTGGTATCTACAAGAAATAGAAAAATTAACCAGGCTTGGTAGCATGCGCCTATAGTCCCAGCCATGGGAGTCTGAGGTTGCAGTGAACCATGATGACATCACTGCACTTTAGCCTGGGTGACAGAGCAAGACTCTGTCTCAAAAAAAAAAAAAAATTGTTTTTCATTATGAGTTGGTATCATTATAACATCATTGTTTCTGGTAATTTTGTCAATCTGTAAATGTTTGTCTCAATGTTTAAAAGGAGCACTAACAGTACCCACTTGCCTGGTGTTGGCCTAGATTTTTTTAACCTGTTCAGGACATCCAGAAGGAACCCGTGGCACCTGCAATGATAACCTTGACTGTGAGTCTGTGAAATAGCTCATAAATTCCCGACTCTGTGGGTCTTGAGGGACAAAAGGCAGATAGCCTTACTTCCCCTTGGCTTTGAAGGACAAGATGGAACTGATGCAGAACTCAGTTCACATCAGCACCAAGGGGCCTAAGGTGATCACAGATATTCTCTCCTGGGAGAAATATCTTGATCAAAAGGGGCAAATATGAGCTTAGCAATGTTCCAGCTTGACATCATGACTCAAACATGGGCTACTGACTCCACGTTAAACTGCTGAAGAACTTTGAGACCGATGAAGGAATTATGAAAAACATTTTCTTCACAAACGACCGGGCTCTAAACAATATACAATACAAGGAAACTGGTCCTAATCTTCACAAACAGGTTGTATATAGGTTTTTCCAGACTAACTGATGTAAATACAACCTTCTACTAATGACTGATGGTGGATTCTTTGTTTAATCCACCAACGAAATAAACTAACAATTTACATAATCTAAATAAATTTCCATAAATGTAAGCCCTCTCATTCTTCTTGGGTGGTACAGTCTCTGACTACTGCCCAGGTTGCAACCTCCATTCCTAAGTAAACACCTATTTTCCTCTGACCTGTTGATTCCTACTTTTGATAAGGGCTAATAGATCTCATCCTTTCTATCTGTACATATTTTAAAATCATATCTGTGTGTCTAGTGGTGTCTAGGATAATATTTTATTTAACCATAGAGCTATCTTATTTATTCATTGCAAGCAACTAAAAAATATTAATCATACTTACCATGCTTAGAGATTTGCTGATGTTCTTAGTATTTAACTGTAGAATATTTCCAACAATTGGGAGAGGAGTCGGGCCAGGGGGGAGCTTTCCTTTGGCATAGCTTCCTTTCCACAGAGAAAAAAGAATCAAACAAGAAAGACAAATCACTAGGACAATGAAGAGATCCATTGATATGCTTTGTGTAAATGCAATTGAAAGCTTAGAATCCGAAGGCTTTATAAACACAAAGGGCAAGCTTATCACTGAATACATACTGAGTTTTTGAAATTTGAGTAAACAATTTTTATCTTTGGTACACTTTGGCCTGCTGATAGAAATAAAAACAAAACCCGTCACTTTAGTATTGATTAATTCCTAAGTTTCTGTGAATATTCCAACTAAAAAAATAACTCTCACTTCTTGAGCAATAGTGGTCTTAGTGGCATATTAGTAACAGTGCAAGCTGTCAGATTTTCAAAGGGGTAGCTGGGGTTCATGATCTCAACAAATAATTAAAAAGAATATCTCACATGTCAAAATCTACCATCATATGAGCAAAACAAAGAAGTGCTCTCTTTCTTAGTGTTGTTCCCAAAAGATGCCAGGGAAAAGGCCAGAATTAGAGGTATTAGGGTATAGGAAGCCGGTCTTATCTTAGATAATAATAGAGATATCCCAACTCTCCTGCCAGAGCCCTATTCTCCAAAGCAGAAATAAAAATACTCCCAAAGGATATGGAAGGTAAATAAAACAGTAGACAGGAACCCACCAAGTCAAGAAAAGAAACTGCTCACACACGGCAGAGGAAAGTCCCTTGGCTGCATATCAGCTGTTTCCTTCCTGACACATCCATTCCCAATGAGGCGCTGGTAGCCAGAGCCTGCTTTGCCCATTCTCACTTAGGTGAGGAAACGTGTCAGCAATTAACACTATGAATATTTGAAAGTGTCTAGAAATTCACAGAAATGAACAAAACTTCAAGATTTGAAAGATATTTGAGGAAACCAACAGTAAAACAAACATAAAACTTAAAATCAGAAAACTTAACCCTGAAGAAGTTAACTTAGAGAAAAAACAATGTTAAAATAATTATAAAAGCATCGGGTTAAGTTAGCTATATAAAAAGAACAATTTATTAGAAAAAAAGAAATGTTCTTGGTAATTAAAACTAGGATTGCAAAAATATTTTTTAAAGAAAACAGGCATCCTGAGTAACAAATTATATTTAGCTACAGTTCAATTTATTTAGCAGGAAGATACAAACAAGAGTTTACCAAGAATAGATTTCAAATAATAATCATGACAACTATAAACTAAATTAAGTGGTATGAAAAATAGTTCTAGAAGTTTTAGTAAATTTCTGGTAAGAGTTTCAAGAAGAGAGAAAAGTAATCAAACAAATAAGCCAAATAACTGAATTAAGAAAACACTTGGATCCACAAAGTTCTAAGCAGGATTAAAATAAAAAGACCCAATCCATAGATTGACATCAGCAAGATGGATGACTAGAGTTACAGGGCCTTCATGCCTCCCACAGAAATGGACCAGAACAATGAATAAACAACTGTCTTAACTAGAGTGACTGAAGAAGTATGCTGGAGAGCACCAGGGGGCAGCAAAATCCCTGTGGAGCATGGAAGCCCAGGATAGCAACACAGAGAGAAGAGCAAGATATCCTGCTTCTGCTACACTGTCTTCTCCACCAGGATCAGTTCAAAGTCAGGGGATATTTCTTCTTACAGGCACTAAAATAGACTGAAAATGAAGGGATGGGGAAAGATATACCATGCAAACAGAAACCAAAAACAAGCAGGAGTAGCCATACTTATATCAAGTAAAATAAACTTTAAGACTGTAAAAAGAGACAAAGAAGGTAACTATACAATGTGATAAAGGTATCAATTCAACAAGAGGACATAAAAATTATAAATATATATGCATCCAACCAGATCACCCAGATATTTAAAGCAACTATTATTGGACCTAACAGGAGAGAAGGACTGAAATGCAATAATAGAAGGGGACTTTGACACCCACTTTCAATAATAGACAGATCATCTAGACAAAAAAAAAAAAAAAAAATTAACAAAGAAACACAAGATTTAAACTGCACTATAGACCAAATAGACCTAACAAATATTTACAGAACATTCTACAACAGCTGCAAAATACACATTCCTCTCAATGGCCCATGGAATATTCTCCAGGATAAATCATATCTTAGTCCACTGTCCTAGTCTGTTTGTTTTGCTATAAAGGAATACCTGAGGCTGGATAATTTATAAAGAAGAGAATTCTTTGGCTCATAGGTCTTCAGGCTGTACAAGAAACATGGTGCCAGCATGTGTTTCTGGTGAGTACCTCAGACTGCTTCCACTCATGTTGAAAGGGGAAGGGCAGCCAGTGTGTGCAAAGATCACATGGTGAGAGAGGAAGCAGAAGAGAGAGGGAGAAGGTACTAGGCTCTTTTTAACAACCAGCTCCGATAGGAATTAATAGAGCAAAAATTCACTCATTACCGCAAGAATGACACCAAGCCATTCATGAGGGACCCACCCTCATGACCCAAACACTTCCTATTAGTCCCAGCCTCCAACATTGGGGTTCAAATTTCAACATGAGATTTGGTGGACAAACATCTAAACTATAGTAGCCACAAAACAAGTTTTAGCACATTTAAGAAGATAGAGATCATATAAAGCACCATTTCTGACCACAATGGTATAAAACTAGAAATCAACAACAAAAAAAAACTTTGAAAACTTTACAAATCCATGGACATTAGACAATATGTTCCTGTACAACCAATGGGCCAATGAAGAAGTCAAAAAAGAATTAAAATTTTTCTTGAGAAAAACATGAATGGAAACACATCATACCAAAACTTATGGGGCACAGAAAAAGTAGTTCTAAGAAGAACATTGATATTAATAAATACCTACATCTAAATGGAAAAAGATTTCTAATGAATGACCTAACAATGAAACTAAAGTAACTATAAAAACAAGAACAAAATAAAACCAAAATTAGTGTAAGGAAGGAAATAATAGATTAGAGAAGCAATACATAAAATAGAACCCCCCAAAATTCAAAAGACCAACAAAACAAATGGTTTCTATAAAGATAAAGAAAATTGATAAAACTTTAGCTATTAATAGAATAAGTAGAAAAAAGTGAGAAGACTCAAATAAATAAAATTAGAAATGGAGACATTACAACTGACACCACAGAAATACAAAGGATCTATTATGAACAACTATATGTTAACAAATTTTATAACATAGAAAATATGAATAAATCCATGGACACATACAACTTACCAACATTAAATTATGAAAAATAGAAAATTTAAACAGACAAAAAAAAAAAAACTAGTGAGGAAATTGAATCAGTATAAAAACTCTTTCATTTAAGAAAAGCCCAGAACCTGATGACTTTACTGCTGAATTCCACCAAATATTTAAAGAAGAACTAATACCAATTCTTCTCAAACTATTCCAGAAAATTGAAGAGGAAAGAATATTTTGAAACTCATTTTACAAGGCCAGCATTATTCTGATTACAAAACCAGACAAGAACACAACAAAAAAAGAAAACTATAAGACAATATCCCTGATGAACTTATATGCAAAAATGCCCAATAAAATACTAGAAAACTAAATCCCATACCATACTGAAAAGATTATTCATTATGATCAAGTTGGATTCATCCCAGGGATGCAAGGATTTTTTAACATAGGCAAAACAATAAATGTGATATAACACATTAACAGAAAGACATACAAAAACCATATAATATTTTCAATAGACACAGAAAAAACATTTGACAACATTCAATATCCCCTCCCTGATAAAAACTCCCAAAAAAATAGTATACAAGGTCTATACCTCAACATAATAAAAGCCATAAATGACAAACTCACAGTTAACATCGCAGTAAATGGAGAAAATAAGAGCAGTAACAAGACAAGGATAGCACTTTTACCACTTCTATTCAACATAGTACTAGAAGTCCTAGACAGAGCAATCATGCAAGAGAAAGAAATAAAAGGTATCCAAACTGGAAAAGAGAAAGTCAAATTGTCCTGTTTGTATATGACATAATCTTATATATAGAAAACCCTAAAGACTTCACCAAAAAAAACCTTTCAGAACTAATAAACAAATTCCATAAAGTTGCAAGATACAAAATCAGTATGCAAAAATCAGATGTGTTTATTTACACTAATAGTGAACTGTCTGAAAAAGAAATCAAAATATCAATTTCATTTACAATAGCTATCCCAAAATAAGATGCCTAGGAACAAACTTACCCAAAGAGGTGAAAGATCTCTACACTGAAAACTATAAAAGATTGATGAAAAAAATTGAAGAGGACACAAATAAATGGAAAGATATCCCATGCTCATGAATTGGAAGAATTAATATTGTTAAAAAGTCCACACTACTCAAAGTTATCTACAGATTTAACACAATCTCTATCAAACAAAATACCAATGACATTCTTCACAGAAAGAAAAAAATCCTAAAATTCGTATGGAACCACAAAAAAACCCAAATAGCCAATGCAATCTTGAGCAAAAAGAACAAAGCTAGGGGCATCACTACCTGAATTCAAAATATACTACAAAGTTTTATAACCAAAATATCATGATACTGGCATAAATATAGATATATAGACCAATGGAACAGGATAGAAAGCCCAGAAATAAATTCATACACCTACTGCCAGGTGATTTTTGACAAAGGTGCCAGAACACACATTGGGGGAAAGACAATCTCTTCAATAAATGATACTGGGAAAATTGGATATATACATGCAAAAGAATGAGACTAGACCCTCACCATATACAAAAACCAACTCAAAAATGTGTTAAAGACTTAAATGTAAAACCTGGAACTATGAAACCATTAGAAGAAAACATAGGAGAAATGCTTTACAACATAGGGTTGGGCAAGGATTTTTTAAATAAGACCTCAAAAGTGCAGAGAACAAATGCACAATTAGACAAATGAGATTACATCAAACTAAAAAGATTTTGCACAGTAAAAGAAACTACTAACAGAGTGAAGTGTGAACTTGTAGAATGGGAGCAAATACTTGAAACTATACATCTGACAAGGGGTCAATATCCAGAATTATATAGATATAGATATATAGATTATATAGATAGATATAAACAATTACAACATAAAATTTTGTAACTAAACGTTTAAAGTATATCAC